AACCCGCCGGCTGGCCTCGCGGGCCGGCTGTCCTCGCGGGCCGGCTGCTGCGGACGCCCGGGCTCCGCCGGCGCGGCCGCCCGCCTCGCGCGGCGCGGGCCCGGGGGTCCTAGAGCCCGCCACGTTGCAGGCTTTTGTCCCTGGCGCGCAGCCCGCCTAGCGAGAGCCGCGGCGCCCGCGGCCCCCTCCCTGGCCGAGGTCCTGGCCACCCCGCCCGCGGTCCTAGAGAACGCCATTTTGCAGGTCTTTGTCCGGCCCCGGCTCTCGGTCCCATTCATTTGTTCATTCTGTCATCCTTTGTCACCCCAGGCCACGTTCTCCAAGGCCACGCTTCCCGGGGCTCATTCCTAGACGAGGCCGCTCAGGGCCCCGGCCCGCACGGCGGTCCGGCGGGCGCAGACCCCTAGGCGGTTGCAGGGGCGAGAAGCGCAGCGTTGCTGCAGCTCTCGGCTCCTCAGCGGATCTGCTAGGCCTAACGCTCTTCAAACTCCCGCCTCCCTCAGAGAAAACGGGGGCCTAGTGCCGGGGCGCCCCTACTTCCACCGCCTGTTCCTGAGGGCACTGGGGCACCGGTATTGATTGGAAGGATGCAGAGGAGTTTTCCCATGAGAGAAGGCAAACCGAGGCAGAGAGCAATGCGGGTGGAGGTGCAGTCAGGTGGGAGGTTTGAGAATTGTGGCTGGAGCTTAGGTTGCTGTAAGGAGGGGCAAACACGCTGAGCCGAGGCTGGGAAAGTGGGTTGGGGTTCGGTTGTGAACTGACCAGATTGGAGGCCTAGGAGATCATTAATTTTCACCTCTGCACGCACTGTTCATACTTACACGTCTGCCATCTTACCGAGGGTGTGAGGCCTGTGGGTGACTATTTGCTTAGACATGGGAGACTGAGGTGCAGAGACTATAAAAAGCGGCTCCTTTCTCGCCTCACCCCAGCTCCCAGGGTCCTCGCCTAGATTTCCCGGGAATTAAGTCTCTGCATCCCTCCAGGCAGCAGGAACTCATCCCTCTCCTAAGCCAGTAGTGAAGCCAGACAAGCCTTCCTCACTTCAGAGTGAAGCCCGTGCGGGAAAGAGGCGTGATGCTGTTTGGATCTCGGGAACACGGACCGCAGAGACACTAATAAGTAGTTGTTGATGGCCAGTCTCACACATGCTGCTGTGGGGAAGGCAGAGGCTAGAGGCCTGGGTCTGAGTTGTGTCTCAGAGGTTGATTCTTGCCGTTTGTTTTGGGACCCTCGTCACCGTTCTAGGTGTAGTGGGAACAGAATAAGGAAGGTTCCCGGCTCTTTGCCAGCCTAGATTTTTGTGCCGGAGACAGAGAATTAACAACTAAGCCATAAAATGTGTAAGTGCTATCAAAGTAATAATCAGGGGACAGAGAGCAAAGTTTGGGAGGCGGCGTTCTAGCTTTGAATACTGCCTGTGACTATCACTACTTCATTTCCGTGTGCCTCAGTACCCTTGTCTGTGATGTGGGGGACATCACTGTCTAGCTTAGCCTATTCAGACTGCCAGAGCAAAAAACAGGCTGGGGGCTTAAACAACAGGAATTTTGTTTCTCACCATCCTGGAGGCTGGGAAATCCAAGATCAAGGTGCTGGCCAGTTCCTGAAGGGGACTCTTCCTGGCTTGCAGGCATGCACACGTTCAGTCTGTTACCAACTTCTAGGCAGCTATGAGACAGCTTGAGTGGTACACATAGAATTCTGAGAATGATACCTGGCCGGTGCTGAGCTTGCAAGAAGGAACGCTATCCGTGTGAGCACCACAAAGGAGATGAAAGGGGGGGAGGACAGAGTGAGTAGCGGGGGCGCCGATAGCTTTAAGAAAGATGGTCTGGAAAGCCCTCTGAGAAAGTGACAGGGACCCAAGACCCAACTAAAACCAAAGAGATGTTACACAAAGAGCCTTGGGGGCAGTGGTTCTGGCAGAGGGGACTGTGTGCCAAGGCCTGAGGGAAGAAGGAATCTAGCTCTTTGAGGAAAAGAGGGGAGCCTATGTGGGTGGAGCTTAGTGAGACCGGAAGAGGAATGGACGTTGAGGTAGGCAGGAGTTAGATGGTTCAAGGCCTCGCTGGCCACGACAGAGATACTGGTCTTTGTCCTGGGGACAGTGGAAAGCCTTACGATTTGGCTAATAAGTCTTTTTTTTTTTTTAATATATTTTATTGATTTTGTACAGAGAAAAAGGGAGAGAGATACAGAGTTAGAAACATCAACGAGAGTCATTGATCAGCTGCCTCTTGCACACCCCCCTACTGGGGATATGCCCGCAACCAAGGTACACGCCCTTGACCAGAATCGAACCCGGGTCCTCTCAGTCCCCAAGTCGACACTCTATCCATTGAGCCAAACCGGTTTCGGCGCGATTTGGCTAATAAGTCTTAAGGAAATGAAGACAGCTAGAGAGCGAGCCCAGCCCAGAGACCTAAAGACTTGGGTTTGAGTCAGGGCTCCTTGCCTAACTGTGTGTTCTTGGCAAGTTTGTCCCTCACAGGGTTTCATACACATCTGGAAACAAGGCGAACACGCCTTTCTCTAGAAGCTGTGAAGACCCAAGGATGGGTATTCGGTTCCTAAATGTTGCGTGTTAACTGGAATGACCCAGACAGTGTGTTCACGGCGAAGATTTCTGTCCTGCCCCACCTCCCTGGATGGGCATTCTCGGACAGGGGTTCCCACACCTGCCAGGGAGACACCACTGCAGGGAGCGGTAGGGGAAGAGGCCTCACTGAGCTGAAGCGAGGAGGTGATTTTAGACAGAGGCCTCGCCTGGCCCTCGCTCTTCATGGAGCTGGGCGCCTGCTGGGACCAACCTGGTGCTCCCCAGCTTGTCCCCTGGGAAGTGCCTTAGGGGGATTTACCCACCCAGCTCTCTGGTTTCTGGTTTGCCGACAGGAAGACAGGCCCAGAGCTCAAAATCCAGGGTCCAGCCCTCTGAGAGGGGAGCAGACATAAAGGATTCCGGCTCTGGTCTCAGGGCGGTTCTGCAGGGATGGGAGAAGGCAAAGGTGCAACCTGAGCTCAGAGTCCGGTCCGCGGGGCGGGCCCACGTGGCAGACAAGACTGAGGGCCCAGGTAGCCGAGAAAGGACCCAACAACTCAGGCAAGTTAAACAGCTAGGTTCACCTCCCAGCTGCGAGTCACTAGGCGTGGCCATGGGCTAGTTGTTAAGCGCAGGCCGTATTGTTTCTCTGGGCCTCAGTTCTCTTACCTGTGAAAGGGGAATAATAATAGTACTTTCCATAAAAAAAAATAATAATAATAGTAGTACTTTCCTCATGGTGTGGGCAGGAAGTTTAAGTGAGTTAAAACATGTAAAGAGCTTCGGTTACTGCCTATTATTTAGCAAGTGCTTTGTAAATGTGAGCTATCATTTTTTTATTAAAGAGAAACTTGATCCGGCGGGCTGCCCAGAGATGGCCTGGGAAGGAGGGAGGGACTGCCTCATCCGGAGACAGGGAGAGATCCCCTGGAAAGCTGGTTCTCCAGCTCTTTAGCTCACTTTCCAGCCCCACAATTTAGTGGGAAAAGTAAAACAAAAACAACAACAACAAGGTGCTGGTGGACAGCGTTGTGTGGGATTGGGGCCAAAACCAAAGCGGAGACGCAGGAGCTTCCCAGGTGAAGCGGGCTCAGAGGGAGGACTCACGGGGTTGGCAGCAGCAGGAAGGACCTGGGAACTTGCCTGGTGTGGAGGAAGCCATGGAGCGTCGCCTAGTGCTTTAGGGCGGAGACGCCGGCCGCCTGTGCCCACCAGCTTGTGTACGTGGTGGGGGCTGAGGCAGGCTCAGCAGGCAGAAGGGTGCTGGCTCTAAAGATGCAGCCCTTGCCGCTCCCTCCAGGGGCTCCAGTGCCCTCCCTGGACCATAGCTTAGAAGCCACCAAGCCCTGAGGTGAACAGATAGGGGAACAGGCTTAGAAAGGAGCAGAGGAAGAACCCTAGCTCCTGGGCTCACGGGGCTCCCTTTCCCATTGCAAGTCCTCACCCACCCGGGCCGCCCCAGCAGCTCCCTAAGTGGATCTGCCCTAATCCTCTCCCTTATCCCCCGGGAGGATGAGCTGGTGTTAGGGCTAATGCAGCTGCTAATCCTATTCCCGCCGGCCTGAGCTGCAGGAACAGCTGTGCGGACGGCATCTGGCTCTGATGCCGCCCAGCTCTCGGGTTTCTGGTTCACAGATGGGAAGACTGAGAATGAAGGGTCCTCGGCTGGAGTGGGTGCCCAGGAGCCAGATCCGATACATCCGTTATGGCTCAGAGGCTTCTAACTGCGAGCGCGGGTTCACGCTGCCTAGAGAGTGACAGCTTCCTGTGACCAGAGCCAGGGGAGCGGGAGCCACAGCGATTCCAGGGCAGGGGTGGGCCAGGATTCCTGTCTGGGGTGGAGTCCCTTAGAGCCGTGCGAGGCCGGGGTTCTGTGGGGCCGTTGCTGCCTCTGAAATCTAACCAGCCAGAGTGGAGAAACAAAGTGCATACGCTGGGCCTATCACTTCCAGACAGAGGTGCCAATCACCACAGCGAGCCCACTGGCTTCGCCCGCTCTGGGGCCTCCCTCTGCCTTCCCTGGGCACTTGGAGACCACATCTGGGCAGGCTCTGTGTCTGCAGCCTTGCCAAGGCCCTGCATCCTGGCACAGGCCGTGGATGCCGCGCTGAAGAAGGATGGTGAGAAGGATGGAACCAGGGGGTTCTGGGAAAACTCGGGCCGGGAATGAAGCGCAGGCAGATATGGGGATGAAGCCAGCCTCCTCCCCTAGTCGTCCTGAAGTCACCAGTCCGACTCCTCTCATCAGTGAGCAGACCCGAGAGGAAACGGGCACGCTGTCAGAGCCAGGGATGTTGGGAAGGAAGGATGTGGCTCTCCTGGGGGAAAAGTGCAGATAAGTTGGGGTTCCCACTGAGGCCCCATGGGGCTTTGGTGACGGGAGAGGCTTGGAGAGTGGCAGAGGGCTGTGGCTTCTGTCTGACTTGGCTTCTCTCACAGAGCTCTGCCCGTCGAGGCCATGGAGGTGGAAGCGGCGGAGGCCCGGGCTCCGGGCCCCGGCTACAAGCGCTCGGGCCGTCGCTACAAGTGCCTGTCCTGTGCTAAGACGTTTCCAAATGCGCCCCGGGCGGCCCGCCACGCCGCCACCCACGGGCCCGCGGATGGCGCGGAGGAGGCGGCAGGGACGAGGCCGAAGCCAGAGGCGGAGGCTGCAGCGGAGGACGCCGGCGGGGACAAAGCAGCGGGGGCAGCCGCCAAGCCCCGGCCGTACGCGTGCCCGCTGTGCCCCAAGGCCTACAAGACGGCGCCGGAGCTGCGCAGCCACGGGCGCAGCCACACGGGCGAGAAGCCCTTCCCGTGCCCCGAGTGCGGCCGCCGCTTCATGCAGCCCGTGTGCCTGCGCGTGCACCTGGCCTCGCACGCCGGCGAGCTGCCCTTCCGCTGCCCGCACTGCCCCAAGGCCTACGGCGCGCTCTCCAAGCTCAAGATCCACCAGCGCGGGCACACGGGCGAGCGGCCCTACGCCTGCGCCGACTGCGGCAAGAGCTTCGCCGACCCCTCGGTGTTCCGCAAGCACCGGCGCACGCACGCCGGCCTGCGGCCCTACGGCTGCGAGCGCTGCGGCAAGGCCTACGCCGAGCTCAAGGACCTGCGCAACCACGAGCGGTGAGGCCTGCGGGGGGGGGGGGGGGGGGGGAGCGGCTGGGTGGAGGTGGGACAGCAGGGACTGCCCTGCGGCCAGAGTGGCCTGGGCCTGGGTCTGGGAGCAGAATGGCCGGTGGGAAGGTGAGTGGGTGGAGCTGTGGGCAGGGGTGGGCAGGGGTGGGGCCAGTGCTCCCGGGTTGGTTGGGTTGGTGGGTGGGTGGACAGGACATGGGGGCAGGCTGATCTGGGATGGGGCCCTGGAGAAGGCAGGTGGGCTGATAGGCCTGGGTTCCCGGGCATCGGGAAAGGGGCCGGGCTTGAAGTTGGGTCTCTGCTAGAGCCCAGGATCGGTGCATGGGGCCTGGAAAGCCTAGGTCTCTGGAGGGCAGAGAGGGGTGTTTTCTGGAATCTAGATACGCGAACTGAAGGTTTCTTACTCCGGGGTACAGCTCTGGATCTTAGGGGGTTGGGCCAAGCTCCCCAGGACAGGAGGGCCTCCTACGTCAGGCGACGGGCCTGCCACCTTCATGCCGCTTCCCCAACTCCCTCAGGTCCCACACGGGGGAGCGCCCCTTCCTCTGCTCCGAGTGCGGGAAAAGCTTCTCCCGATCGTCCTCGCTCACCTGCCACCAGCGCATCCACGCCGCGCAGAAGCCCTATCGCTGCCCCGCCTGCGGCAAGGGCTTCACGCAGCTCAGCTCCTACCAGAGCCACGAGCGCACCCACTCGGGCGAGAAGCCCTTCCTGTGCCCGCGCTGCGGCCGCATGTTCTCCGACCCCTCCAGCTTCCGGCGCCACCAGCGGGCACACGAGGGCGTGAAGCCCTACCGCTGCGAGAAGTGCGGCAAGGACTTCCGGCAGCCCGCCGACCTGGCCATGCACCGGCGGGTGCACACCGGCGACCGGCCCTTCAAGTGCCCGCAGTGCGACAAGACCTTCGTGGCCTCCTGGGACCTGAAGCGCCACGCGCTGGTGCACTCGGGCCAGCGGCCCTTCCGCTGCGAGGAGTGCGGGCGGTCCTTCGCCGAGAGGGCCAGCCTCACCAAGCACAGCCGCGTGCACTCAGGCGAGCGCCCCTTCCACTGCAGCGCCTGCGGCAAGTCCTTCGTGGTGTCCTCCAGCCTGCGGAAGCACGAACGGACGCACCGGAGCAGCGAGGCCCCGGGCGCCGCCCCGCAGCAGGAGCTGGTGGTGGGCCTGGCGCTGCCCGTCAGCGTGGCCGGCGAGGGCTCGGCGGCCCCCGCGGCAGGGCCAGGCCTGGGGGACCCTCCGGCCGGGCTGCTGGGGCTGCCCCCGGAATCGGGCGGCGTGATGGCCACCCAGTGGCAGGTGGTGGGCATGACGGTGGAGCATGTGGAGTGCCAGGATGCTGGGGTCGGGGAGGCGCCTGGTCCCCTGGCGGGGACGGGAGAGGAGGCGGACGAGAAGCCTCCGCAGTTCGTGTGCCGGGAGTGCAAGGAGACGTTCTCCACGCTGACTCTGCTGCGCAGGCACGAGCGCTCACACCCGGAGCTCCGGCCCTTTCCCTGCACCCAGTGTGGCAAGAGCTTTTCAGACCGGGCCGGGCTGCGCAAGCACAGCCGCACGCACAGCGCGGTGCGCCCCTACGCCTGCCCCCACTGCCCCAAGGCCTTCTTGAGTGCCAGCGACCTGCGCAAGCACGAGCGCACCCACCCTGTGTCCATGGAGACCCCCGCGCCTCTGGAGCCCCTGGTGGCTCTGCTAGGAATGCCTGATGAGGGGCCAGCCTGAGCCCGTGGCCCTTCCTCTGAACTCCCCGGGGTTCAGCCTCCTGAACCGCCCTTGGCCCAGCTCACTCTCCCAGACGCCAGGCCCCTGTCCCCCAGGCAGCAGCTCACCTTCCCAGCAAAGAGCCTGGCCGGCAGAGGCGGCGCCTGTTCGTGACGGGCTCTGTGAGGAACATTAAAGCATTCCCTTGGACTCCGGGTTGGCTTCTGTGTTCTAGTTGGGGGTTCGGGAGGGAGTTTGGGCATTAGACAGGGTTCACTGCAGATTCCTAGGCTGGCAGATTAGAAACTAGAGGGTCTAAAGTGTTTTAGAATGCCTGTGACAAAGGGTTTCATGGTCAAGCAAGTGCAGGAAATTCCCTGTGCCTTTCTTGGAGGTTCTTGATTAAAAATGTGTTAAAGTCATTCATAAGTCCCGCAATGAACAAATCTATTTAGCTCTGTTTATCCCATACTTATGTAACCATGGAAACCTTTTATTGAGTAGTTTTCCTTCTATCCTTTTTACAGAGAATAAACTGAAGCCCACAATTAGTATATTCCTTATACATTGCAGTAACAAATTGGAAGATATACTTGAAAAAGAAGGGGCCCCTTCACAATTACAATACCCATAAACTGCAAAGTGGCATGCAAAACCTATAGGATGGAAATGCTCTCTCCAGAAGGAGATAAGACATATACCACGTACTTACATGGGAAGACATTAAAAGATGTTGGCCTGCAGAAACCGGTTTGGCTCAATGGGTAGAGCGTCTGCCTGTGGACTGTAGGGTCCCAGGTTTGATTTGGGTCAGGGGCATGTGCCTTGGTTTTGGGCACATACCCAGGGGTATGGTGTGTGTGCAGGAGGCAGCTGATGGATGTTTCTAGCTCTCTATCTCTCTCCCTCTCTGTAAAAAAATTAATAAAATATATTAAAAAAAGAAAAAAAGATGTTGGCCTTAGCCAATTTGGCTCAGTGGATAGAGCATCAGCCTGTGGACCAAAGGGTCCCTCGTTCAATTCTGGTTAAGGGCACATACCTTGGTTGCAGGCTCCTTTCTGACTCGGGCCCTGTGTTTCTCTCACATTGATATTTCTTTCCCTCTCTTCCACTCTCTCAAAAAGAAAAGAAAAGAAAAAAAAAAAAAAAAATATATATATATATAAAGATATCTTTGGGTGAGGATTAAAAAAAAAATGTTGGATTCTCCCCAGCTTAATGCTTAAATTCATTGCTATTCAAAAAGGGTTTTTAACAAAACTTGAAAATCCGAAGTTCCTATGCAATACATTTTTTAAAAATGAGCTAATGTGTTTGCATACTAGATAATCAAACACCAAAGCACAGGAGTAAAAACAGTATCGGCACAAGAATAAATTAGTGGAGTGGGGGAGAGGATTCAGAAACAGCCCTATTTCTGGGAATTCAGTTTGTGATAAAAATGATTCAAATTGGTGGGGAAAGATAGGTTGTTGATGGCTTTACAGTTATATCTGTACGCTGAAAGGTTATACATCTTTCTAAGCAATTTTTCAAAGACCAAAATGAATAAAAATGAGGCTTCACTTTTAGTGTAACTTGGTACAGCCTGTTGGGAAGATGATTTGATTACATTTCTAAAAAAGTTAAATGGATATACCCTTTTTAGCTCGGCAAGTACACTTAAAGAATTTACACCTTAAATTTCTTTGTCCACTTAAGTGGCAAAATTGAGGGTAATGTTTAATACAGCAGGACTTGTGATACTGGGAACGCCTTAAATGTCCATTATCAAAGGACTAAGGCCAGCCACTGTAACCACATTGTGCAGCTGTTTAAAAAATGAGACTTGTCCATCTGTTTTTAACAATATCAAAAAATATGTCAAATGAAAAGTGCAAAGCATCATGGTTAGTATGGGCCAAATTACACATAAGTGCTCGTTTCTATAGAATATTTCTAGAAGGATACTTAACTGATTTTGGACTATAAATTTCAGCCACTAAGGCTTTCCCCATTTATAAACCAAAACAGATCCTCTTCCATGCTTTTGTCATTTCTAGACTTGGGCCACCGAGTTGGCAACTTCAGGAAATGTGTGCAGTCTAACTCCAGGCCAATGTGCCAGTCAGCAGCTGGCTCCACCTAGGACTGGCATGCCAGGTAGCACCAGGAATAGAAGTAGTGGGTAATCCCTTGATGTCAGGGGACAGACAGCATTGCCATGTCCAAGCTTTGGAAAAGGCTGTCATTCCTGTTCTTCATGATGCAGAAAGAATCATTGACCAGCTGCCTACACTGGGCATGTGCCCTTGACGAATCAAATCTGGGACCCTTCAGTCCACAGGCTGATGCTCTAGCCATTGAGCCAAACCAGCGAGGACCTCATTCCTGTTCTTCATAACCTAAGAAGGGGGCATGTAGCAACAGCAGGGGCCAACGTGTCATGACTGCAGGAAGAGGGTACTATAATAGTTTGACCAATGGCACTCACTGCCCATCCACATCCAAAGCAAGACAAGCACTGACCCCAGATCTCCTGCCTGTTCTGGGGCCAGAGTCTGAAAGAAGGGGTCAAGAAGAAACATACTAAATGGGATTGGAACAGGGTGACTTTGGTTACTACTGACGTGATTTGTGACCTTGAGCAAGATGATTTACCTTGGGAGTTGGGGAGGCATCTTTTAGAAATTGGTATAAAGACACCATATATTGGGCATTTATCTACAATGAAAAAAAAAGTGGGTCTGGGCCTAGACAACTCACTGACCCCTTGGTTCCCCTCTGACACTCCAGGCATCCCTTAGCCAGGCCTGCTTCCTGAGGACTTAAGCTGCCGTAAAAAAAATTAACAGCTATATTAAGATGTAATTCATGTGCATACAGTTAACCCATCTGAAGTGTATAATTTGATGGTCTTTAGTACTTTCACAGGGTTATGCAACCATCACAATCTAATTTTAGAATACTTTTATCCCCCTAAAAGAAACTTTATGTCCATTAGCTGTCACTGCCTATTGATCTCTTCCCCCCTGCACCCAATTCCTCAGCCTGAGTCAACCACTAATCTTATATCTGTCTCTGTGGACTTATCTATTGTGGACATTTCATGTAGGGATCATGGAATATTTGGTCTTTTGTTACTGGCTTCTTAGCATAATGTTCTCAAGGTTCTTTCATATGGTTTTTCCTTTTTATTGTCAAATAATATTCCATTTTATGGATATACCACTTTTATTTATCCATCATCAGTGATTGGCAATGGGCTTCCATGTTTTTCAATTGTGAACAATGCTGCTCATGAAGATTCACAAGGTTTTGTGTGGACATGTTTTTCAGTTCTCTGGGTATATAGATAGAAGTGGAATTGCTGGGTCATACAGTTACTGTTGTTTAACCATTTGAGGAACTGTCAGACTGTTTCCTAAAGTGGCTGCACCATTTACATTCCCACCAACAGGGTATGAATATTCAAATTTTCCTACATCTTTATCAACAGTGTTATTATCTGTCTTTTTTATGATAGCCATTCTACTGGTTGTGAATTTCTGTTTTGATTTGCATTTCCCTAATGGCTAATGATGGTGAACATCTTTTCATGTATTTATTGGTTATTGTATATCACCTTTGGATAATGTCTATTCAAATCCTTTGACCATTTCTTTGGTTGCTATTGTTAAGCCTCACCTAAGGATATATTTTTTCCATTGATTTTTCAAAGAGAGAGAAAATGGAAGGGAGGAAGAGAGAAGAGAGAAAGAGAAACATCCAACACATTGGTTGGTTGCCTCCTGCACATGTCCCAACCACGTGTGGTAGTGAACCCACAACCCAGGTACATGCTCTTGTCTGGGAATTGAACCTGTGTCCCTTTGGTGCCTGAGCCGACGCTCTAACCACGGAGCCACACTGGCAAGGGCCTTTGCCCATTTTTTAATTGGGTTGTTTGACTTGCTATTGAGTGTTAAGAGTTCTAGATATAAGTTCCTTATGATTTGCAAAAGTTCTCTCCCATTGTGTGGGTTGTCCTTTTATTTTCTTGTTGGTGCCTTTTGAAGCGCAAGTTTTACGTGTTGGAGTCTTTTAAAGTGCAAGTTTTACATTTTGATGTCCAATTTATTTATTTATTTTTTTGTTGCTTGTGCTTTGATAGCCATATATAAGAAATCATTTTCTAATCCCAGTCATGAAGATTTATGCCTATGTTTTCATCTAAGAGTTTTATAAGTGTTTATAATCCACTTATAAACTTACAAGTTTAAAAATGATAAACTATAAATGTTTTATAGCTAAGAATGCTTATATTTAGGTCTTTGATCCATTTTTAATTAATTTTTGTATATGGTTTGAGGTAAGAAGTCCAACTTCATTCTTTTATATGTGGATATTCAACTATCCCAGAACCAATTGTTGAAAAAGCTTTTATTTGTCCATTGAATTATCTTGACACCATTGTTGGAAATAAGCTAACTGTAAATATGAGGGTTTATTTCTGAGCTCTCAGTTTTGTTCCCTGAACATGCCTGTATGTCTTTATTTATGCCAGCACCACACTGTTCTGCTTGCTGTAGCTTTGTAGTACATTTTAAAGTCAGGACCTGCGAGTCCTCCAACCTGTTCTTCTATTTCAAGATTACTTTTGTTTTTCTTGAACCCTGGCATTTCCATATGAATTTTAGAATGAGCTTATCAATATTTGCAAAAAAGAAACAAAAGAGAAAAGGAAAAGAAGATAGCTAGAATTTTGATAGGGATTGCATTGAATCTATAGGTCAGTTGGAGTATTGCCATCATAATAATATTAAATATTCTGACCCAGGAGCATGAGATATTTAAAATTTTTATTTAGATGTTTAGTTTCAACAGTGTGTTCTAATTTTCAGTGTATAAATGTTATAGTTCTTTTGTTAAATATATAATTATTTTATTATTTTTGTTGCTATTATAAATGTAATTGTTTTCTTTGTATCATTTGAGAATTGTTCCTTGCTGGTCATGAGAAACACAATAGATTTTTGTACATTATTCTTGTATCTGCA